CTGGTGCAAGGGGYAGGACATTCAGGTGGACCAGGGTTAGGGGACGGAAACAAGCAGGAGAGCACTGTTGTTGAGAGGAAACCCTCGGCAACAGCAGCAGCTTCCCCTCGCTCTTTGTGCCTCACAGCATTCCCTGTCTCTGCCAGAGCTACAGGCGCAGCAGGAACTGTGAGATCAGACTGGGCAGACGTGCACTGGATCAGAATGCTSTGCGCCTGCTGGACGCCTCTGATCGCACAGCAGCCCGCCTCCAGACTGCTTTTAAAAGAAAAGGCTACTCACCTCTGGTTTCCATGGCTGTTTTCCACAGGAGCTGCCTCCTGCTGCTTGCCTCACACCCATTCCCATGCCTCCATTGCTCCTTTTTTTTTGGTCTGCACAAAACAAGTTAAGAGAGGCGTCGAGTGAAGATTTGACCTTGAGACTTGGTCAGTCACTGTCATGCTTGGCACTGAGCTTCGTTAACTCACTCCTGTTTCAATGAAATCTCTTGTCCCTTCTTTCAGGAGTGAAATGCAGGACTCCATCCATGATGGCAGCAGGCTGGGCTCCCAGGCTCTGCTGGAGCTGTGAGGAAAGGCATGCTGCAGAAGCCTTGACGCAGAGGTTCCTCTCCTCTCTCCAGCAAGAATTCTCCTCTAGTTCCCTGTCAGAGCCAGCCAAAAGGCTGGGGCTGTGGAACAGGCCCTGTTCATGGCCACGCTTCCTTTTCCTGTTGTCTCACACTTCYGGATGGAGGAAGGTAGCACTGTGGTGGGAATTAGAGTTGCCTTAGTTGTACCTTCCTCTCCATCCRTGTCTTGGGTCCCCCTCAAGGGAGTACTGCCAAGATGGACTGTCTCAGCAGTCTGTATTTACACATGCTGTGGTCTGATCTCTGCAGCACTGCTCACACACYAGAGAGGAGGAGGTCACTCACTTCCCCTTCTCACTTCAGAAGAGCCCTCTGGGTTTCTGAACTCAGGCTACAGGAGTGGGATCACCACGGAACCTGAGCCAGGATTCCTGACTGTATTGGGTCAGGCCCCACAGGGATCCTGCCGGAGAAGAGCTGAAGCTGTTGGGTCGGTTTTATCTGGCAATAAATCCCATTTATTTTCCCCAGGCTGAGTGCAAAGCCATTGTGCCAGGGATGCAAATGGGCAGGGGAGCACGGCTGGGGCGGGAGGGAGGTGGCTCCRCTGGCAGCTGGAAGCCCTTGGCACATATGGAAGGCAGGATAGCAGATGGGACAGCGCAGAAACAGCTCAGTGTGATGCTCAGGGAACACAAATAGTCAAATGGAATAGATGAGACTGCTCTTGGCACTGAGGAAGCACCAGGAAAGGAAGAGCTGTCATCAGAGAGTGGGTGGGGGCGGGAGGGGGTTGGAAGCCCAGAGAGGTTTTGTCTGCAGAGACACAAAAGGCCGAATTGCCAAAACTGAAGCCATGGAACGCTCCGGCTCTGTCCGTCAGAACCAAGTTCAACTCGAGTTGTGCTTTCCAGCCAAGGGAGAGGCAGTGGCCAACTTCACCTGTCCTGGGAGGATGAGGAGCTTCTGCAGGACCAGGAGCGCATTTCAGGGGAGGGAATTTTTGGGGGGAAATGTCTGAATGGTGCAACCCCTGGTTTATGGGGTCCTTGTTTTTGCTCCCATCCCACTCTTCCAGTTCAGGGTCCTGGGCACCCTGAGAACAAGTGCTCTTGCAATTAAAGACTGAAGCTGAAGAGCCATCAAGTACCCAAGCCTTTTCCTCATCTTTGTCGCTATGTTTTCCTTCATGTCCAATAAAGCGTTGGAGCAAATTAGGTGACATTTGCAGAAAACAAGACAAGTTGTGAAAATGTTAGGGAAAATCAGGGGCAATCAGGGAAAAATGGAGGAAATTGTGGAAGTTGTGACAAAATAAAGGGGAAATTCAGGGAAATGGGGTAAAATTAGGGGAGATTGGGGCAAAGTAGGATGGAATTACGAGAAATCTGGAGAAAGTAATTAAAATGAGGAGCAAAATTCAAATTGGGGAAATAAATTTCAGTTAGGGAAAATTAGGGATGTATTCAGGGAAAATTATGAGAAGCTGGTGGAATTTTGGGGAAGTTAGAGGGAATTGGGGCAAATTTGGGGAAATTGAGGGAAAATGAAATACCTTAGGGGAATCAGGAAAAATGTACAGAAATTTAGGGAAGTGTAGCAGAAATAAAGGAAAAAATGGGGGAAGTAGGGAAAATTGAAGGAAATTAGGGAAAATTCAGGGAGAATAAGGAGAARTTCAGGTGTAAAGGGTCAGAATAAGGAAAATTAGGGGAAATTAGAGGAAACTGAGGTAAAATTAACAAAATGAGAGAATTAGTGGGAAATTGCAGAAAACAAAATGTGGCACAAATTAAAACAATGAAATCTAGTACACATTGCAGGAAAAAATGAGAACATTTGGGGAAAAATCAGGAAAATTTGGAAAATTAGGGGACACCAAGAAAATTCAGGGCAAATTGATGGAAAATAGGGAAAACAGGAGGAAGCCAAGGGAATTTGTTTCAGACTGGGAGACATTTAGGAAAATCAGGAGAAAAGCAAGGAAATGTGGGTAAAAATCACAAAACTTCAGGGGAAATTGTGAAAATTAGGTGAAATTCAGACACCTGGGTTCTCTATCTCATGGGACTGATGGGGCCTGGATGCCTGGGTGCCCCTGGCTATTCTTAGGTGAGTTATGGGGGTCAAGGGGGGGGAAGGGGGACCTGTAGGGCCAGCCCCATATATGGTTATGAGGTGAAGGTGCCCCACAGCCCCACTGACGTCACAAGCTGATCAGATGTCAGGGGTTGGGGGGGATGTCCCAAAAATATCCCATTGTAGGGGGAGGGATAGGGAACAAAGGGAAGGGAGGAGGGGCACAGATGCCTGAGTTCCCTTGGAAAGGGAAGGGGGGGGGGTCACACCTGTCCTTTGTCTGTCTGTCCCCTCCCCCACCTCAGGGGGACCCAGGCGTCCAGGCGAGTCTTGTAGCTTGCCTCATCTATCCCATAATAAACCAGGGGGGGAGAAGGGGGGAGTAGAGGGGACCACTATAGGGGCTGAGAGGGGGATATCCTGTGGGTCTGGGGGGGTCTTATGGGTCTGGGGAAGCCCCATGGGGATTCCACAAGGGTAGGAGTAGGTTGTATGGAAGGTCTATAGGGCTGGGAGWGTCCTGTGGTAATAGGGGGGAGTTATGAGGGTTCTATGGGGGAACACATAGAGATTCTATGGGGTTAGAAGTGGGTCCTATAGGGCTATGGGACTGGGGAGGGGTGTCTAACAGTGGGTTCTATGGGGCTGTGGGCACTTACAGGGTTCCCATTGAAGGGAAGTAATGGGAACCCTATGGGGCTGAGAAGGGTCCTATGCAWGTCCTATAGGGCTAGAGCAGTGCTCTGTGAGGCTGGGAGAGTCCTATGGAGCTGGAAGTAGGTCCTATGAGGTAAGGGGGAAAGATAGGGTGCTGTGGGGATGAGATATGGGGGTCCTATGTGGCTGGGGGAGCATTATAGGGCCTTTGCACCCTATGGGGTGGCAAAGGTCCTACAGGATTACAGAGCAGAGGGAGGGCCCTATGGAGGTGGGGAGTGTGCTCTAAATCCATAGGGGTCACCGTGTCCCTATAGGGCAGTAGGGTGGCCTTGAGGTCACCCGTCTGTCCATGCCCCCCCTCCTGGTGACGCAGCTGCGGGGGGGAGGGGGGATATAAGGGGGGTCCCCCAGCCAGCGCCTACAGACCCAGGGGCAGGTGGGGCAGGGGGCACTGGGAGCACCGGGAGGGTCTGGGAGGGGGCTGTGGGGGGACTGGGGGCAACTGAAAGAGACTGGGAAAAAACTGGGAGGAACTGGGAGGGAACTGGGAGGGTCTGTGGGTGAACTGGGAGGGACTGGGAGGGTCTATAGGAGAACTGGGAGGGTCTATGGGGAAACTGGGAGGGACTGGGATTGTACTGGGAGGGTCTATAGGGGAACTGGGAGGGACTGGGAGGAACTATGGAGGAACTGGGAGGGTCTTTGCACGATACTGGGATGATACTGGGAGCATCTGTGGGGGAACAGGGTGGGACTGGGATGATGCTGGGAGGATTTATGTGGTAACTGAGAGRGACTGGAATGATACTGGGGGAGGGRGGAAGATACTGGATAAATCCTTGGGGGATACTGAGACTTATTGAGCAGTACTCTGTGCATGTGTGAATGTGTGTGTGTGATGATGTGCTGGAGAAGTACAGGTGGGGCTGGTTAGGGATGCTGGGATGTAATGGGATATACTGGGACATGCTGGGACAAACTGGGTTGATTGTTGTGTCCCGGACCAGGACCAGAGCCCCCCTGAGTCTGCACTGTCACCCCCTGCCTCGGAGAACACAGAGAGAGGTGGGGCTGAGCTCTGGAAGGAACTGAGGGGTGTCTGGGGAGACTGAGGGTGACTGGGAGGGCCTGGGATAACACTGGGAGGGTCTGTGTGGGAACTGGGAAGGACTGGGAGGGATGGAAGAGTACTGCAGGCTGCTGGGAGTTGCTAGGGTGGGATAAAGGACAGGCAGTGTGAGGCACTGCAAGGAACTGGGAGCACTGGGGAGGGCACTGGGACTTCCRAGGAGTTACTTGGGATGGAGATGAGGATAACTGGCAAGAACTAGGAGCACTGGAAAGGACTGGGAGACAGGAGAAGAATGGATGAGATCACCAAGGATGGGGTTGACTCAGAGAAGTGGAGAGGAACTGGGAGTGCTGGGAGGGAACTCTAGATGATGGAACCACTGAGGATGGACTTGGGATGGGCCAGCTGGGAGGACTGGGAGCATTGGAGAGGAACTGGGAGCACTGGGGTAGAATGAAGGAGTTGGGTTGACCAGGAGGAAGTGGTAGATGTGGAGAAGAAACAGGGAATGATGGGTTCACCAAGGAAGGAGCTGAAGGGGATCAGCTGGGAGGAACTGGAAGTACTGGGAGTGTCTGATCCCTCCTGCCTCATGCAGTCCCATCCAGTGCCACCATGCCTGATGTGGAGATGGCCGAATTTGGGGAGGCCGCCCCCTACCTCCGCAAGTCGGAGAAGGAACGGTTGGCTGCCCAGACCCGCCCCTTCGACCTGAAGAAGGACATCTTTGTCCCTGATGAGAAGGAGGAATATGTCAAGGCCACCATCATCAGCCGTGAGGGCTCCAAGATCACTGCTCAGACGGAGCATGGCAAGGTGGGGAGACCCTGGCTACGCCTGGGACACCAGAACCTCAAAATAGCAACTGCATTCCACTCGTGACACAAAGAACCCATCCAATCCAAACCTTCTGTAGAACCCAGGAAACATATAGACCCCAACACACTTACTCTAGCACCCACTGGGTGTTCAGATACCACAGCATCCTCTCTAGAACCCAGGAAACACGTAGACCCTGATCCAACATTTCCCAGAACCCATTGGACAACTAGACTCTATCCAGCCTAGAGACATCCTCTATCAGCCCAGAGACACCCAGGCCACAAAGTATCTTCTCTATCACTTGAGGGACACCTAGGCCTCCTCTGGCTCCCAAGGGAACACRTAGACTCCCAAATCCCAGCCCTACRGAAGGGAACAACTGGGGCAACTCCTTGCCCTGTGTTCCTGCTCCATGGGGTCCTCCTTACCTTGAGCAGACAGTGACGGTCAAGGAGGATGAGATCATGCAGCAGAACCCACCCAAGTTTGACAAGATCGAGGACATGGCGATGCTGACCTTCCTCCATGAGCCTGCCGTCCTCTACAACCTCAAGGACCGCTACGCCTCTTGGATGATCTATGTGAGTTGGGAGCCCATCTAGGAGGATCTCTAGACCCCATCCAGAATTGGGATGCACTTTCTCTAGACCTCCTGGGCCACACAGACMCAAAAYGTCCCTTCTCCAGATCTCATGGTCCACCCATAACTGGGGTGATCCTTCTTCACACCTCTTGAGCCACCCTGACCCAAGATGTCTCAGACCTCTTGGGCCACCCAAGACCAGGATGTCCCTTCTCCAGMTCTCATGGGCCACCCAGAACTGGGACCTCCTATTTCCAGACTTCTTGGGTCACCCATACCCAAGACGTCCTATTTCCAGACCACAGGGGTCACCTAAACCCAAATATCATCTAGACACAAGAGGTCACTCCTGCAGACCCCTTGGACCACCTGGTGGTGCAGCACCTCCCAGCTCTGACCCACCTRTTGTTTTCTCCAGACCTACTCGGGGCTCTTCTGCGTGACAGTCAACCCCTATAAGTGGTTGCCTGTCTACAACGCTGAGGTGGTGGCTGCCTACCGGGGAAAGAAGCGGAGTGAAGCTCCCCCCCATATCTTCTCCATCTCTGACAATGCCTACCAGAACATGCTGACAGGTAGGGACYTTCTGCAGGTCCTCTCCTTTTTGGGGAGCAGGAGATGTGGGGCAGAGCCAAGGTGGGCTTCAGAACCTCATGTTTCTTCTCTTTCTTTYATCCCACCAGATCGTGAGAACCAGTCCATCCTCATCACGTGAGTGATCTCATCTCTAAGCATTGTCTTAGTCCTGCTCACTGTCAAGACCCTCCCAGCTGGCACACAGCCCCTCCCCTTCCCCCTTGAAGCCATGCTCACCGGCACGGCCGACCCTTTATCGCCATCTGGACTTGTCTGTGGAGGTCCATTATCCATCCCTCCCCAGTGAGTTCCCACCCCTAGCCCACAGCACCAGTACCCAACCCTTGCTTTCCTTGGCTACTTTCAGCGGAGAATCCGGGGCGGGGAAGACTGTGAACACCAAGAGAGTCATCCAGTACTTCGCCGTCATCGCTGCCATCGGGGACCGTGGCAAGAAGGAGACGGGAGCCCCGGGCAAGGTGAGGGCACTGGGTGGGGTATGACACCCTGGGGTGTGGCCAACATACTGGAGCACGTCTGTCCAACCAATAACACAATCAACCATGCAATTACCCAACCAAGCAACACCCAATTACCCAACTCAACAATCCAACCAATCATCCAACCAACCAACCAACCAACCAACCAACCAACCAACCAACCAACCAACCAACCATCTATCTAACTTTCCATTCATCTGTCCCATTTCCATCCACCTAACTAAGCATCCCTCCATGGCATCAACTCACATCCCTGTCCATCAACCCAATTTTGCCCACATAGACCTTCATGGACCTCTGTGTCCTCTCATCCATCCCTTCAACCTCAAACCCTACAACCCCCTTCCCCTTACTGTGAGAAGCTCCCTGACACTGTCCCACTCTACCAGGGCACCCTGGAGGACCAGATCATCCAGGCCAACCCTGCCTTGGAAGCCTTTGGCAACGCCAAAACTGTCCGGAATGACAACTCATCCCGATTTGTGAGTGTTGGGGATAGAGTCTATGAGGAAGAGTCTATGGAGTGGAATCCATGGGAAAGGTCTATGGGTTKGGGTGTTCTGGGAGAAAGTGGTCACTTCCACTACCCTTTCAGGGAAAGTTCATCCGGATCCATTTCGGAGCCACTGGGAAGTTGGCATCGGCTGACATCGAGACATGTGAGTAGGTTGAGGGCTCCATGAGAGGACATCTGGTTATCCATCATCCATGCCTCCATCCACCTCTTCRTCTGCATGTCCATCCTTCTCATACTACTAATCCATCTACCCTTCCATATCCTCAAGCCTCCATCCATTCACCCATCTGACYCTCCATCTCCTCACCCCAACCTCCACCCATCTTCTCTTCATCCCCAGACCTCCTGGAGAAGTCCCGTGTCATCTTCCAGCTGAAGGCTGAAAGAAACTACCACATCTATTAYCAGATCCTCTCCAATAAGAAGCCAGAGCTGCTGGGTGAGCCATGCTCCCAATCTACCTGCAAATACCTGGCCCTGCACTCCTTTTGGGACCTGACTGTTCCAACCCCTTTTACTCCTTTCAGACATGATGCTGGTAACCAACAACCCCTACGACTATGCCTTCATCTCCCAAGGAGAGACCACGGTTCCGTCCATTGAYGATGCAGAGGAGCTTCTGGCCACAGATGTGAGATGAGAGGCCATCAGGCAGTATGTATGTGTCTCTGTGGGCTGGAGAAGATCTTGACCACATTTTTGCCCCACAGAGTGCTTTTGATGTCCTGGGCTTCACCCCAGAGGAGAAGAACTCCATCTATAAACTGACAGGTGCCATCATGCACTTCGGCAACATGAAGTTCAAGCAGAAACAACGTGAAGAGCAGGCAGAACCAGATGGCACAGAAGGTTGGGCCCTACTAAGGCTGAGGTGGAAACTGGGRTGAACCCCATGATCCTTCCAGATTCATATTTTCACTTCTTCATCCTCAGAGGCAGACAAGTCAGCTTACCTAATGGGGCTGAACTCRGCTGATCTCCTCAAGGGGTTGTGCCACCCTCGGGTCAAGGTGGGCAATGAGTATGTCACCAAGGGGCAGAATGTCCAGCAGGTGAGTAGGACATCCCCAAAACCTCTTCTTTTTGGGGTGACATGGTGCCATCTCCAGCAAGGAGGACAACAAAAGACCCCTCACACTGGTGGGACATCTCTCTTCCAGGTGATATATGCCGTCGGAGCCTTGGCCAAGGCCGTGTATGAGAAGATGTTCAACTGGATGGTGACCAGGATCAACAACTCACTGGAGACCAAGCAGCCAAGGCAGTACTTCATCGGTGTGCTGGACATCGCTGGATTTGAGATCTTTGATGTAAGYCCTGCTTGACTGTGTTGTGGTTGACCCTTTTGGGTGGGGAGTTATCTCTACTGGRTGGTCAGATGACCTCACTTTCATTTGTGTTGAGTCAGGTGGGGCTGAAATTGACCCCAGTGAATGTAYTGGGTGTTGARTTGATCCAGTTAACCCCACTKGYCATCTCCTCTCTCCTTCCCCAGTTCAACAGCTTTGAGCAGCTCTGCATCAACTTCACCAATGAGAAGTTGCAGCAGTTTTTCAACCACCACATGTTCGTGCTGGAGCAGGAGGAGTACAAGAAGGAGGGCATTGAATGGGAGTTCATTGACTTTGGCATGGACCTCCAAGCCTGCATCGACCTCATTGAGAAGGTACCACYTGCCGCAGGGCCTCRTGGGGRCTGAGGGGGCTGCTGGGGAAGGRCCTTTTCAGTTGCAGCTTGCCAGAGMCCCCAARGTTGGCCRGTTGGGTTGTGTTTCATGTCCTCCACCACCACTGAGGTTTTTTCTTCCCAGCCCATGGGAATCATGTCCATCCTGGAGGAGGAGTGCATGTTTCCCAAGGCCACGGACATGACCTTCAAGGCCAAGCTCTTTGATAATCACTTGGGCAAGTCGGCCAACTTTGGGAAGCCACGCAATGTCAAGGGGAAGCAAGAGGCTCACTTTGCCATTATCCACTATGCTGGCACAGTGGACTACAACATCATTGGGTGGCTGCAGAAGAACAAGGACCCCCTCAACGAGACAGTGGTGGGGCTCTACCAGAAGTCAGCCCTGAAGCTCTTGGCCAACCTCTTCGCCAATTATGCTGGGGCTGATGCACGTAAGGGGCACCCCCTTCCTCAGTATCTGGCATTCTCCCCTGACCTATCTGGCATTCTCACCCCGTCCCTGACCTATCTCATCTTTTCTTCTCCAACAGCTGTGGAGAAGGGGAAAGGAGCTAAGAAGAAAGGTTCCTCCTTCCAGACTGTCTCTGCCCTGCATCGGGTGAGAGTCCAAGAGTTACTGGTGGACCCCAGGGTGTGTGGGCATGGAAAACATGTCCTTATGGCAAGRGATGGCCTTTGGTGGGACAGGCTGGGGGGATGTCTTCATTCCCTTTATCATCTCCTCCTCCATCTTTCAGGAAAACCTCAACAAGTTGATGACMAACCTGCGGTCTACCCACCCTCATTTTGTCCGCTGCATCATCCCCAATGAGACCAAGTCTCCTGGTGAGCCAGTCCCTGAGGGGATCCAGAGCACAGTGCTGGGCCCTGGCCAAAGGTGGTGGTGGGGAGCAGTGCTGTGAAGCAGACCTTCACTCACCAGTCTTGATGACCCACYAGGTGTGATGAACAACCCCCTGGTGATGCACCAGCTCCGCTGCAACGGGGTGCTGGAAGGCATCCGCATCTGCCGCAAGGGCTTCCCCAACCGCATCCTCTATGGGGACTTCCGCCAGCGGTAGGCACAGAGGAGAAAAYGTGGGGATGGGGTGGACAACCCCACTGGGGCTGATTTCTGGGGTTTCCTGTCCYCTCTGGTCACCAGGTACCGCATCCTGAACCCTGCTGCCATTCCCGAAGGGCAGTTCATCGACAGCCGTAAGGGTGCCGAGAAACTCCTGGGATCCCTTGATATTGACCACAATCAGTACAAGTTTGGACACACCAAGGTGAGATCACTTAGTCTCCATTCCTGATGGCCTCCATGGTCCCACCTGTCCACTTGTCCACCTGCCCATCTGAGCTCACTTCACCCATGCAACCATTCATCCCTCTACCACACCCCTAAATCCCAGTAGCACTTATCTTCATCTCTCCTCAAAGGTCTTCTTCAAGGCTGGGCTGCTGGGGCTGTTGGAAGAGATGCGGGATGAGCGCCTGGCCCGAATCATGACCCGCTTGCAGGCCCAAGTCCGTGGTTTCCTCTCCCGCCAGGAGTTCAAGAAGATCCTAGAGCGCAGGTGGGTGGTGAGATGGAGATGGTGTTGCATCCATGTCGAGTTGAAGACCCTGGTGACCTGCATCTTGCTGTGCMTTCTCCAGGGACTCACTGCTGGTGATCCAGTGGAACATCAGGGCCTTCATGGGGGTGAAGAACTGGCCTTGGATGAAGCTCTACTTCAAGATCAAGCCCTTGTTGAAGAGYGCTGAGACMGAGAAAGAGATGCAGGTRRGACAGGGCCATGGGTAGGGAAGGTGKGTGGGGGATGGRGAGAGGAAGGGGACATAAARGAAGATATGAGACTTACATGGTACMTTTGTGCCTCACACAGAACATGAAAGAAGAGTTTGGGCGGCTGAAGGAGGCCTTGGAGAAGTCAGAAGCTCGGAGGAAGGAGCTGGAGGAGAAGATGGTGTCCATGCTGCAGGAGAAGAATGACCTYCAGCTCCAAGTGCARGCTGTGAGTGACCTAGATGTCCCAGCCCCTCACTCCTTTTTCATTCACCTCTAACCAACCTTCRCCCTTCCAGGAGCAAGATAACCTGGCTGATGCTGAGGAGCGCTGTGACCAGCTGATCAAAAACAAGATCCAGCTGGAGGCCAAGGTGAAGGAGATGACAGAGCGGATGGAGGATGAGGAGGAGATGAATGCTGAGTTGACAGCAAAGAAGAGGAAGTTGGAGGATGAGTGCTCTGAGCTGAAGAAGGATATTGATGACCTTGAGTTGTCATTGGCCAAGGTGGAGAAGGAGAAACACGCCACTGAGAACAAGGTAAGGGTGGAGAGAGGCTTTGACCTCAGACTGGAGATTTGAGTTGACCCATACCAAAGTGAATAGCTTTGGAGAAGACCCAAGGCTGGTTGGGTTGGGTTGCTGAGATTCAAGGCTGTTTCGGTTGCCAAATTTAAGGCTGGTTGAGTTGGGTCATAAASGCCCAAAACTGCTTGGGCTGGGTTTTAACGATCTGAGGCTGGTTGGATTGCATCACCCAGACCCAAGGTTCGTTGTGCTTTCCTGCATCTCCTGACTTTGATCCAACCTGTCTCTTCTCCTAACTGTGGTACCCAGCTGGAGGCCTGATATTTCTCCTCCTACAGGTCAAAAACCTCACAGAGGAGATGGCTGGGCTAGATGAGGTCATTGTCAAGCTAACAAAAGAGAAGAAGGCCCTGCAAGAATCTCACCAGCAAGCGCTGGATGATCTGCAGGCAGAGGAAGACAAGGTCAACACCCTGACAAAGGCCAAAGTTAAGCTGGAGCAGCAAGTGGATGATGTGAGTATAGGCCACTCCCACCACAGGCATATAGCTGGTCCCTTGGGGTGTGGAKCTTCTCTTGGGATGTGTTTGTGGGGGGTTGATGGATGTGTCTCTGTYTCACTGGCAGCTGGAGAGCTCAYTGGAGCAGGAGAAGAARATCCGGATGGACCTGGAACGGGCCAAAAGGAAGCTGGAAGGTGATTTGAAGCTGGCTCAGGAAAATATCATGGACCTGGAGAATGACAAGCAACAACTGGATGAGAGGCTGAAAAAGTAAGGTCCTGCATTGTCTTGTCCTTTSCCTATAACACCCCTCTCTGCTGAGCCCCCAGGATCACGAGTGCCTGGTGTTTTTCCCCACACTCAGGAAAGACTTTGAGCTCAACGCCCTCAATGCCAGAATTGAGGATGAGCAAGCAGTTGCAGCCCAGCTCCAGAAGAAGCTCAAAGAGCTTCAGGTGAGGTGGGCTTCAGCTTGGGGGCAACAAAAAAGAGGAATTGGTCCTCCCCATTTTCTTCTTCACACCTWTTGAGAGGGACCTAAAGCAGTGTGCCACCCACCTGAGGTCTGAAGCCCATGGCATGTCCTTTGTCCCAGAATTTCTCCCTTGAAATGACCCATGTACTCCTGGGCAGGTTGGCTTTGGGGAGGGGATTGAGCTGAACCAATGGGTCTGGAGTACTCAAGGTAGGGGGAGCATCTTGGGTAGAACCATCTGAGCTAAGCAGACCTCTGAGTTGAATCATGTTAATTCCAAAGTCCTTAGAGAAGTTTGTGCTGAGCTGTYTAACCAAGTTAGCTCTAGGACTGTTTGAACTGAATGTCCTCAAGACTGGTTGAGTTGAAGAAACTCAAGGTAATTTGAGAAGGTGGAGTGTCTTCAAATGAATCCAGGTTGATCTGGAGAGCTTGTATCTTGACCAGGTTGAAGAAAACTGGATGGGATCAAGATTGGTTGAGGTGAAGTGTCTACAGCTGTCTGGGTTGAGAGGATGAGTCTACATAGGAYGGGTTGACTTGAATTGACTTAAAGGCTCTCCAGCTCGATTGGTTGTGTTGAGTGGAGAAGTCGGGTGAAACCAACTCACCTGAAAACATGTTCATCTCCGGAGCACAGGCACGGATTGAGGAGCTGGAGGAAGAGCTGGAGGCAGAGAGGACAGGCAGAGCCAAGGTGGAGAAGCTGCGCTCAGACCTGTCACGGGAGCTGGAGGAGATCAGCGAGCGGCTGGAGGAGGCGGGTGGTGCCACTTCAGTGCAGATTGAGCTCAACAAGAAGCGGGAAGCAGAGTTCCAGAAGATGAGGCGGGACCTGGAGGAGGCCACACTGCAGCATGAGGCCACAGCTGCTGCTCTGCGCAAGAAACACGCTGACAGCGTGGCTGAGCTCAGTGAGCAGATCGATAACCTACAGCGGGTCAAGCAGAAGCTGGAGAAGGAGAAGAGTGAGCTCAAGCTGGAGCTGGATGATGTCGGCTCCAACATGGAGCAACTSATAAAGGCCAAGGTAGGAAATAGGTCTCCAGCCATGAAGGAACACTCTTACACTGACCYCTCAAGGTCCACTTTCATCTTCCTGCCCTTCCTGTTTGCAGGCCAATCTGGAGAAGATGTGCCGCACCATGGAAGATCAGATGAATGAGCACCGGACCAAGTCTGAAGAGGCCCAACGCATGGTCAATGACCTCACCACTCAACGAGCCAAGCTCCAGACAGAAAATGGTGAGGGGCTTGCTCTTTCCTAACCCAGTTGCCTATCCCCTGCCCAGTGGGGTGGCTTTGGGGTGTGTCCAKCAAGTGATTATCCACCACTCCACCCAACAGGTGAGCTCTCCAGGCAGCTGGAGGAAAAGGAAGCCTTCATCAACCAGATGACGCGAGGAAAACTCACCTACACACAACAGCTGGAGGACCTCAAGAGGCAGCTAGAGGAAGAAGTCAAGGTAGGGCTTTGCTGGGGAGGTCAGGGGGGCTGACAAGACACSTCCAGTGTTAAGGATGTGGTTGGTTTGTGACAGGGAGATGCATCATAAGCCTGCCCTCAGAGTGGGAGAAAAAAAGTTGAGGGTCCTCAGGAAGTTCAGTAGAGTTGGGGGATTTCAAGGAGGTTCAAGGAGTTGGTTGTTGGTAACTTGGTTGTAACTTGGTTGTTGGTTGGGTTGGTCTAGAGATGACTGGGTTACGTTGGATTGATTTACAGAAGGTCTGGTCAGCTTGCAGTGATGAAAACAACATCTTGCTGAGTTGGAGAATGCCAAGATGGCTCAAGTTGATGTGGACCCAACTTGTCCTCACCTCATCTCTCTCTCCCTCCCAGGCCAAGAATGCACTGGCCCATGCCCTCCAGTCAGCCCGGCATGACTGCGACCTGCTGAGGGAGCARTATGAGGAGGAGACGGAGGCCAAGGCTGAGCTCCAGCGCTCGCTCTCCAAGGCCAACTCTGAGGTGGCACAGTGGAGGACCAAGTATGAGACAGATGCCATCCAGCGCACTGAGGA